CAGTCATTTTTTTAGTTCAAAAGAAAAACTGTTGGGTGCAGAGGTCTTTAGTTCAGTGGTAAACACAAAATGCTATGTATCCCTTTCATTATGTTTCATACAGATGATATACTTTTTCAGTCCCAAGATCATTATTTCAGGGGTAAACACAAATTTGTGCGTGTTCCCTTCATTATTTCATTCAGATGATATACATTCTTTGCAAAAGACTTTATTTTCCATTACCCCAACAGGAAAAACTGCGGTGATGATGATAAATATATGATTCGTGATGAAAAGAAAAAGGATGATGATGACGATGACGACGACGAGGGACGACGAAAATATGAAAATGAGAGAAGAAAAAAATGAAAAAAGAAAAAAATTTGATGAGGGAGAGGGATGATGATGATGTTTGATGAAACAAGGGAACGGAAATTTTTATCAAATAAAAAAAAATAAAAAAAAAGGATCTTCTGAAATGTTTATCGGAAAAAGCAAATTTTAAAAAAAATCATTTGGCCAGTACAAGTACTTTCGACAAAAAAACGCCTCTAATTTCTAATAAAATTTTGGATATTTTCTACTTTATTAATTTGGCACAAAAGTCACACAAAAAAAACGAAAGGGTTCCCATTGTTTAAAACCAATGTGAACCCCTCTTTTTTGAGCAGGAAACCCGATTTGAAAAGGCCTTTTTCATTCCCGGGCCGAGCTTTTTTAAAGAAAACCCGCAACTGCTTTACAAAAAACCAAAATCCGAATTTCCCGATAAACGTTGATTTATAAAAAAAGGGGTTGGGAAATTTTTGCCCTCCCTCCAAAAAAAAAAGAAAACATCAAAGTTTAAAAGTAAGTAAAAAACCTTTTTCGGTGACGTAATTTTCCAAAAGCTTTTCCAAAATTTAAAGGAAAAATTTTAAAACTCATGACTTACCTTTAGATATAGCCCGGTTTTTCCCGCTGTCCCGTGTTTGACACCCCAAAAAATTTCGCCCCAAACCCCTTTCCCGTATTAACAGAGACAAATTTTTCACAAAGGGGCTTTGTGTCTCACAATGACTAAACAATCCAACCCCGCCTTTTTGGGTTTTTCTTCTAAAATTTTGGGCACATAGTTTAATTTTTGAAAACCCGGTTTTTTCCTTAAAAATGTTCCTATTTGGTCTAAAAATACTAATTTTCAAGGGAAGACCAGGACCAATTAAAAGCAATCTAAAATTTTTCCCCGCCGGGAAACCCATTCGTTGTAACCCCGGGGGGTGGCTCCATTGGGAAAAGGAAAATCCACATTGAGTTCCAGCGGAGTTAAACACTGAAAAAGACAAATAGGTAGCTGGTTTTTTTTTTTAAATACGATTCATCAAGGGTGACCGGGGTTTTTTTAATGTTATTTTTTCATTTTCCCAGTTTTTTATATTTACCACCCGGGCCCGGAAATGGGAGATTTTTGGAAAAACTCACCCCCAATTGGTTTATTTCACCATGTTTAAGGAAAATTTTTTCTCCGGGGGATTTTTACTTTTTTTTCGGGAATTTTTTCAAAAAAAATACGACGGTCTAAAACGTTCCGAAATAACTGGGGAAATTACGGGAAATAAATGCCGGAAGGGCTTTTGGTTTTTTGCTTGTTTTTTTGTTTCCTGGTGGGCTGGATGCGGAAAACCCAAAAACCCCATGTTTTCCAGAAAAAACTTTGAAAATTTAAAATTTTTGGTTTTTAGAAAAATTAAAAACAAAGGTTTTCAAGAGAAAAAACAAACCCACAAAATCCCGGATCAAAAAAAAATTTTTCGTTTCATGATAAACCGGGAAAATAAAAAAAAGGGAAACAAAAAAAACCCAACCAAGATTTTCGATAAAAAAAAACCTAACGTAAACACGTGGAAACCCAAAGGGGAATAAAGGTTAACTATTTTTGAATACTAAGTATTTGTACATGTTTTTTTGGGATTCGTCGCACCATTTAAGGAAAGGGTTTAAAAATAACGATTTTCCGCTTAACGGGTGGGAAAAAGATTCGGGTCCCCCCTCTGCCCCATTACCTTGGTCCCTTAGTAGAACCACGACTTTCCCGTAAGCAAACTGAAATAGTTTTTTTAAAACATGAAAGAAACAATCCCAAAGGGGCGGGGGCTCAAACCCAAAACAACGGTCAGAGCCCAAGTGGTTTAAAGGGTAAATTGACCCTTTGTACATAGTTTTGTAAAATTTACTTACAATTCCCCCAAAAAGTACCCAGAAATATAGAACAAACCCTAAACAGAAATAAAACAATTTTTGTTAAAATTGGGGTTTCCATATGATACTTACAAAAACAATAAAATAAAACATTCAAATGATGACTTTAAAAGAAATATATTTAATTTTGATTCACAAAAACTGTAACGTCATTTTTTTCAAGGCTTTTTCATTTTGAATACACAAAAAACATGTATATTCCCCCGTAAGGGTTTAATTTTTAAAGGGGCTAAAAAAAATTTTTAAGTTTTTCCCACCTTTTAAATATTTATGGGAATCCCAAAATAGCATTTTTAAATATATTTTTTCCAAATTTGGGCATGTAAAATTGTTTTTTTAAAAAATTGAGAACTTTTTTAAATTTCTTTCATTCCTAAAATTTTAAAAGAATCCCCCTCCTTTTTACTTTTATAAAATAATCTTTTTTAAAAAAAATCCAAAAAAAGTCTAAATTTTTTAAATTAATAATATTTACAAATTTTTACTTTTTTTAATTTCCCATTTGCAAATTTTTTCAGATTTTTTTAAGAAGGGGAAATTTTTACCTTTTTAAAAATTGGTTAAATTTAACCCCTTTTAAATTTTTAAAAAACCCAAAATATGTAATGAATAAGTATTACATTTTTATCCTTCAACAATTTTTGTACAACGACTATCAAAGCTAAATATTGCTAGTTAAATCAAATTTCCTAAGTCAAGAGTCAACAAAATCCGACTCCGGAATGGCTGGAATCTGAACATGTCCGATATTTGACGGAAAAACAGTTCGAAATAAGCAAATATAGACGAAAGCTATAAGGCAACGCACCTGTCCACGTAAAAATGTTTTACTTTGACGCAAATATATGTCTTTTCATAAGAATATCATTGAATTTTAACGCAAAATTTTTCACTTTATGAAATGGGCATTAAAGTGTAAAGGAATAATTTCCATCACCACCGCTTCAATAAATCATCCGCGGATTAATATTAAACAGTGTAATGCAAACTATAAAACATTTATACCTTGCTTTATTGTAAGTTTAAATTTAACGATAAATAAAATAGATTGGCTTAATTATTACAATTAATTTATAATGAGAGGTTGAAAATACAAGGTATTGTTATAGCTAAATTTTAAACTTGCACACCTTTTTTCAGGTGACTAGCTTAAAAAAAGAAAAAAAAAACAAAACACAAAAAAGTTTTAATTTTTTCCTCTTCACTTTTTTTTTCCCTTTTTTTTTAATTTAAGGGCAAAATGTTACAGAAACAAAGTACGCATTTAAAAATATGTTTTCCAGCGGGAATTCCCCAAACCATCTTCTTCAAAACATAAATATAATTTTCCTTTAAACAATTTTTGGCCCCGGGTTGTAAAAATTTTTCCCGGTTAACGCTAAAAAAAGGGATTTTATCAAAATAGGGTTAACTTTGATAGATAAAAAAGAATTAAAATTTTTTTAATTTCCCCATACGGTAAATTCAAAACCCAAAAGTAGGTTTTTAAAACACACGGGGGAGGGGAAAAGATAACGATTTACAATTGCATTGCCCAAAAGTCATTATTAAAATGTTCTCAAACACAATCTGCGGGGTTAAACAACATTTTTGGTGTTTTAAATTTTGGATAAAAAACCTTGCTTAAAAAAATAAATTTATTTTTTAAAAAATTTCAACAAAATTAAAACATTTTTTCACATTTTTTTTGCAAACCCCTTTTTAATCACAAATTTGCTTAAAGCATGTATAAAGGGGAAGAATAATTTGTTTCGTAATTTTTGGGGTTTAACGTTTGTGAAAACCCAAAAAGGGGAAACCACTGCGTAAAAATTTGGACTTTTTCCATTTTTTCATTATTTTCCCTTAATTTAAAATTAGTAAAAAAATTAAAAATATTTTTGGGGAAAGACATGCAACTTCTATACTGTATATACAGAAGACGAGAACATAGAAATATTGATATTCAGCAAAAAATAATGTTTGACATTAAATGTTATTGTTAACCTTATGCTTTTATGTTTATTTCTCAAAAGCTTTTTTTTAAATTTCGGTGCACGTTCTAAGTACTCAAAACGTGAGTCGTTAGCCAAATAACTTAACCATTTTTTATCTGTTGCTATGGGCATTATGTGCCTTTGAACCGGAAGTAATTGACCTTTGCCACCTGAGTATATAGGTATCCAGATTTTATAATGTTGACTGTCTTTCTGTACTGTTTCATCTTGATTACAAGTTTATAAATTTCAAAAATGAAACTTTTTATTTTTTAAAGTTTTTCATCTATTTTGTTTTTTTATCATTTTAAAATGTTATGTTTTTGTTTTCAAAATCTAACTAAAGTTCAGATCTACCTTTAAAAAGTAATTCGTGCATGTGAAAGCTCATCGATGGTTGGCTGTTTAAAAAGTCACGAGATCCTTAAAGGAGCTTATTGTAATCATATTGTTGTTTTCATTCTAATGCATGGTCCATAAGTATTTTGTGAAGAAGCAACACATAAATGATACGTAATGTGTGAAGAAATACAAAAATGAGATCCGATGAATGTACGATTTCAAATACAACTTTCCAAGAAAACTACCCTCAAAGGAGGTGTAATCATTAGACAGACGAGTATTCCTTTCGAATGTTACGTACCAAATTAATGCAAAAAGGACGGCTGTTTGATTGTCAATAAAAAAAAAAGTCTGTATGAAGCTTTTTGGAAAATACTACGTGTTCCATACATCTTACATCTATTTGTTACGAGTTAATGAACTTGTCAATTTTCACTTTCTTATCAGTTTATTTTTTCAAAAAAAAACGAACGAAAACAGTTCAAAAGTTTTCCGAATTAACGGAAAGTCATCATGGCCTGCTTTATGCAAAGTTAGTGGTCCGCATCCAGCATCAACATGAGTATTATTGTATACGCGCATTCATTTGTTTTATAAACCATTGTAGTCTTAAATAATTCAAAATTTGGTCGACACGTCTCCATTTTCTGCCTGACTATAGTCTATATGTGGTTCAACTGGAAAAGAAAGAAATGTATTCATTTGACAAAGGCCCGGTAAACATATCGCTAATTTCAACGTATCGCACTTGTTTAACTTATTGCACACGTTCTATGGTGTATATTTGAATAATACCAAGTTTTAGTTAAATTTTACATTCTGCGAATGCAATTAATTTCTGTCGTACTTTGGGAGGTAAACTAGTTCAAACATCGCAACTTTTCGGTCCTTTCAGTCAAACCTTTTTAAAGGATTGCGGGAAAGTATTGATGTAATCTATTTACACGAAAAACAACATGTTTTCTTAAAAATACTGTTGATAATATTTGTTCTGAAGCTATACAGATACGGTATTTATAGCTTCAGTCTTCTACATATTTATGTTATTTGTGGCTTTAAAATTCAACACAGATTCATGAAATAAAGTTTTAACATACCTCCTGGAAATTTATCATATTGATTTGAGTGTGCCCGTTCATGATTATGTCCGTAATGGTCAAGGTCAGTTGCCGGTGTGGTACCATAACCACTTTCTAAACCTGCCACATTGAGATCCAGATATTCAGCGGGAGCTGGTGTGAGCTGTTTACTTTCGGGTGTTGGCGGAAGTGGGTCATTACTTGTCCGTCGGTTACCGGTATCTGTTTTCGGTCCACTGCGAATAAAGTTTGAATAATTGTTTAAAAGCGGTATGTAACGCTGGCTTAATTATGTGACTCTATATAAACACTCATTAATTCGGTTAAGTTATGCAATGAAAGGGTAGGCAGTTTTGTCAAATTTTTTGGATTTATACTTACTCAACGTCATTGGGGTTGATATATGCATACTCCGCCTCTGGCTCCGCCTTCTTTTCGTCAACCCATCCCTTTTCCGTGCTCGGATGTCGGGGTGGAGCTATAGGTGGTCGCTTGGAGAGTTTATATTCCTTGTACATCTGCAACGATTTATCAAGAGTTATTAAACATTGTATTTATAAATAAAAATTAAAATAAAACACCGATAGATGACCTGTTTTACATGTTTTACACACGCGTGCACAAACACGCATAGACGCTTAAAAATAGGGAGATTGTCAAACCAGAAAACGAACCGTTTAATCATGTAATAAACTAAAGAAAGCATAAATTGCACATGCTCGCACAAATGTTACACTAAAATACATTGGAATTTTTTGTATCGAGCCGACATTCTGTCACAAGCCTCAACTACGGTTATTTTAATACACAAAAGTATAAACTATAAATAAAAGGACATTTTACAAAAAGGTTTTTCATAAACATACTGTGTATTTTGTATAGTTCTATTTTAATGCCTGGATGCTATTATTATTAAATAAAAGTCAGTTGAAGCAGTTTAAAGTTGCAATAGTAAAGCAATGTGTGGGCGCAATAAATGATGAATGGTAAATAAATAAATATATATTGTAACAAAAGCCCTGATATTATTTCATTGTTAAAATGAATTTCAAGAATATACCAACCTGTTCATCAATAGGTGACATGTTGTGAGGTTTTTTGCTCCGCCTACACATTATGACGACAATTATGACGATAACTAGCACTAACACGCCCCCTATGCTCGCTGCAACCGGTACAGTCCATCCTGCAATGTAAACATGTTTAAAAACTTCCGGGACAATGATTGGGAATTGTCATGCAATTTCCGGTGCACACTGAATCAGTTAATGTATGTTTATTTGAATATACTGAAAAACGATTTGATTATAAATAATATTTTCCTGTATTATCTCTTCAGAAAAAAGTATTATCTTCTTCAGAAGGGGCAAACATGTGTTAATACGGGTTTAAAAAATGGATTTAAAGCTTTAAACAAATCTTTTTCACTTTTAAATTTATTTTTAAAATATTTCCCCTTTTAATTAAAATAAAAATCTTCAAAAAAAAAATTTTTATTTTCCCCAAAAAGGGGAAAAAACCCTTTTTAAATTGGTGAATTTTTAAAAAAGCCATTACCATGCTGACCCACTGGTAGGGGCGGGGGCCGGGGTTTTAAGCAATTTAAAAATTAATTACTTTGGGCCGTAAAGTTTCAGAAAGTAACCATAAAATTTGTTTTAAATCAAAGTGTCTGCCTGAAAAGGGAATTTTTTTTTTTCAAAATTTCCCCAAAAAATTTAAATCCGAATTTTTAGGAGGGGGGGACAATTTTGGGCGGGCCCAAAATTGATATTCTCAAATTTTGATGACTTCAAAAGAAAAAAAACCACTTACGGACAAAAGTACTAAAAATAGAATGAAACAGCGGCTCCAGGTTATTTAAACATATAATTATCTGAAATAAGTCGGTTTTGCCGCTTTATTACAGTTCGTGAGCAATTAATTAAATAAATTTGACTACAAAAATGACCTCCTTTCTTTTTTGATCTATGAAACATACATGTAGTAAAGCAATATTTATGCGCTTATTATAATCATACATGAAGTTATATCATATGAAAATTATCATAAAAACCAACATTAAAGTAAAAACTTACTAGGAACGCCAGAACTTCCTGACGTCATCGCTGATGAGGATTTCTCTGTGCTTGACGATGTTATAAGGCTTGACCACGTGGACCAGGGGTCTGGTTGCGGGTAGTCATCATATATACACGTGTTGCAGCAGTCGGCACGGCGTTGGGGAGAGTAATAGTAACACTCTGTGGCTGTGCAGTTCTTCACTTTGTCTCCATACATACATCCTGAAACATTGAATTCAGATAAAATAAAAAAAGATATCTTGCAAATAAAATTAATAAGAGAGCTCTTTAAAGAATGGCAAACCGATACCGTATATCTATGAAAAAATCTACATTCACCCTTACTACTGGCGGGTTCTAAATCTACCCATACGACCAGTGCAGACGAAGATCAGTATACGGCCTGATCGTTAACTACACTGTTCTTTCTCAGTCAATACCTATTTTAAAGTTTCTTTCAATGATAGTTGTTTGCAGAATTTGAAGAAGGACGCGTCCATTTAAGCGTGACGTGGGTAAATGGCCTAGTTTCTAAAGATTCCAGCAACAAGATATCTCCGCCACTTAATAAGTGACAAACGCGTATACATGTAGATGAGTATTAGTTTTAGGCGAATTTTCATTTATGGTTCAAAGTTTAAATATATAGAGGATATTTGTTAAGTTCAGTGTAAGATCGGAATATATTTCACCGAGTGAGCACCAAAAGGTATATTTCACGAGTGGCGCAGCCACGAGTGAAATATGAACTTTTGGTGTTCACGAGGTGAAATATATTTCGATCTTACACTAAACTAAACAAATTTTCTTTTTATTACATGCTAAGAAACGTTTAAAAAGACATTTTATCCTAGTACTAAATGAAAAGCGCGCCAAATTCTAATACAACGTGACGTCATTTAGGACGTCACGTCATTAAGCTGGTTTCCAGTACTGTGCACGCTGGTATTTCTCTGAGACAACGTAACGGGCTTAAATTCAAAACAGTGAAATTATCAAATTGATAATTTCACTGTTTCAAACAGTGAAATTACCAGTTTATAAATCACTGATATATTTCTATAATCCATCGAAAAGCATGTAATAAAAGAAAATAATGGCATTTCTAGAGCTGAACAGATCACGATCATATTTATACATGCAACGTCTTTGTAAAGCTATAAATGCTTAATATATAATAATCAAATAAAAAGTATAGAAAAAATGTCAAGCTGTACTTTAATATTTATTATGAAATTAGATCACAAGTAAGAATTATATGAAATGTTTAGTGTATTCGTACATGCATATTACCTGTAATCGATGTTTCGTAATCTTGACACGTGTAACAACAGTCAGACCGGATGTTGTTGTTGTAGCATTTAATTCCGTTGTCAACTTCACACTGGCTTACTCTATCACCGTATTTGCACCCTGAAATCAAAGACATTGTCATACTTTAAAGGAACTCCACTGAGGTTCAAAAGCCTAAAGCTTTAGTAAAAGCATAGACTTTATTTTTACTCAGATCAGCTGAGGCACGCAAAATCGAAGACATGTAAAAAATAATTTAGAAATATACATAGAAATGAATTGAAAAGCGTATTTGTGCTATTTTTAATATGATTAGAGTAAAAACGTTTAAACGCTTAAAATTCAATGTTGGGTCATTTTTCACAATTTGAATAATTATCCTGGATAAACCGCGTGAGCGAATAATCTACAATTGTGCACACAAGTTACAAATCTAGATCTACATGAAACTGGGCATTAATCTCGAAAAAAATTCCAATCTCGTCATGTCAGGACCTCAGTGGAGTCCCTTTAATATATTTATGCTTAAATCACTCAAAATAAATCGGAAACTTGAATTTAAGCTATTTATAGGTAGCTAACATAATATCTATTGTATACTTGGTTTTTAGTCTTCCAAAATGATCACATTATTCGTTGTTCAATATTCTGAAAGTTGTTCAATATTTTGCCAGTTGTCGTTGTGCGATAGTTTCACTGTTGTTTAATATTTTCACCGCTGTCGAATATTTTCAAGGTGTTCAAATATTTTTACCGTTATCCAATATTTTCACCGTTGCCCAATATGGCAAGAGCCCGTGTTCAATATGACAAATATCGTTGTCAAATATGCTTAATTGTACAAAATTTATTGGCTCATATGCTTATGGGTTTTGCTCAATATACTGATCAAGTGCCCGATATAACCATAGTGCCTGTTTAAAAAACATACAGACTATTCAAGTTTTTTTTTATATAAATACGGGATTTATTTTAATCGGGTTGTATGAAAGATTGCGCTAGCCACGATTGAAATATTATTATCTTTATACTATCTGATAAAATAATTCCCGTTTTTATAGGAAAAAAATCAATATATAATATAATTATTATTTCTCTTTTTTGATCTCACGATTCGAAAGACTTCCCTTTTAAGTGAGTGTATTTGTTGAATTTAGAATAAAGTAGTCTGGCAAGACACCAGTATAAATACAGAAAATATATTTCACTGCAGTGAAAAATAATTTTAAAGCATTATATTTCATCGATATTTCTTAATATTTCATTTACATGTATAACGTAAAATATAATAAATAATTATTGTTGTCTTATATTTTAATATTATTTGCAAATATTTTGTTATGCAACATGTGTTAAGTTACATGTTAAATATGCTCAAGCCAGTTGTCAAAAAAAAGTATAAAGGGAAGTTTAGCTGTAATTAATAATTAGTATGAATTTAGATCACTGGTAAGAATTATGAAAACTGTTTAGTGTATTCGTACATGTATATATATTACCTGAAATCGAGGTTTCGTAACCTTGACACGTGTAACAACAGTCAGACCGGATGTTGTTGTTGTAGCATTTAATTCCATCGTCAACTTCACACTGACTTACTCTATCACCGTATTCACAACCTGAATAATAAAGATTATTGTTATGGTATTTTTATACTTAAATGTATTTATGAAATAAATATATCAAACAAATTCGATAGCTAAAAATATTTATTATCAAACTAAGTCTTTAGTTTTCCAAATTGATCGGATGATTCGGTGTCCAATTTTCTGACCGCTGACAAATAGTTTAAACATTGCCAAACATTTTCACTTTTGTCGGATATTATACGTGTTGCCCAATTTTTTCACCGTTGCACATTACTTTCACCGCTGTCCAGTATGTTTTGCTATTACGCAATAATTTGTCCATTGTTCAATATTTTGATTGTTATATAATAGTTTTACCATTGTTCAATATTTTCACCGTCGCCTAATATATCAAAACACCTTATCCAATCCGCTTAAAATAGTCGCAAAATTTGCCAAGATTCTTCTTCAGACTCTTTTCAGTATCTTCAGATTTTTCGTCTGATATGCCTTTGATTTGTTGGTTAATAATCAAAGTTCCTGTCCAAAATGTTTGAATAAGATACACTTATAGTTGTCCAATATTTCAAATTCGTTGTCAGTTATGTTCTTTTTTGTTATGTTATATACTATTTAACATGCTTAAATGTTTAGATCACTTGTTTTATTTGTGCAGATAAGTTGACATCATATATGCTTAAAAGAGTTACCTAACACGCCCAGTTTAATTTTCCAATATATTTAAAATTTAGATATGTTTTCTGGTATACAGCTAATGCATTGCACACTTTTCTGATCTGTGTCCAATATGAGCAAATACACTGTCCGAAATATCAAGGTTAGTTGCCCAATACTCAGATTTGTTGTCCAATATACTAGAATTCATTGTCCGAATTCTTTAATTCGTTGCAGGTTTCTATATCCAAGTCCGAAAATTCGTTGGTTAACATTCGTCGATTGAAATCGGACATGCGAAAATTATTCGAATGGCTGCATATTGTTGTATTAGTTAACTTCTTAAAGAATATAATAACGATGTACGACAAGTACAGAAACTATCCAAATATTCATGTCAAATCCATGTCATGTCTGTAAATTATGGTGGCTGATTTGGTAAGCTTTTGTGCATCTAGTTGGCTAGCGACAACACGACAAAGCGCCAGACGGCGCGTTGCCGGGCTTTCGTCTTGTCGTCCTGTCGTCTTGTCGTCCTATCTCCAGCGCGGTACGCCAAACGGCGCGTCGTCGTGCAGCGCGTAATTGCGATTTCGCCCTGTCGTTTGGCTTATAAGCCAATCCTTCAATATAAACCCAGCGACATTGTGATATCGCGACAACACGCCGCACGACAACGCGCCGTTTGGCGTGTCGCGCTAGAGACAAGACGACAGCGCGACAACGTCTCGTTTGGCGCTTTGTCGTGTTGTCGCTAGCGCAAATGCGACACACAAAAGCGTACCAAATCAGTCACCATAGTAAATAATATAACTTATCGCATTAATCAAAACGAATATTAACGCATTAAAGAGTTATAAAGACTTGGAACACCTACCGCCTTTGTAGTAGGAAGTTTTGTCATTGTAAATTTCATTGTTATCAATGGTAGTTTCCGGCGCCATTGTCTCCGTTGACTTGTCCCGTGCTGTTGTCTCCATTCTCGTGTCCCGTGCCGTTGCTGCACTGGTTGTTTCCGGTTCCATTGTTTCCGTTGTTGAAAATTCCATTTCCGTTATTTCCGTTGATGTCGATTCCGGTGCCGTTGTGTCCAATTTTGTCATTTCTAGCACCGATATCTCCGTTGTTGTCATTTTCGACACCGATATCGCAACTGGTGGTATGGTAGGTTATTAAAATTGTTCCATGAGGAATTAATACGTAGTTCCTATAAATTGTCCGATATGTAAGAAATGTAAGTGAAAGTTTTAAGAAAAATCCGTTAATATTGATATCTGTTCACTCCTAAACAGCAAAAACTACACCAGTCGGATGGATGTGATAATTTAACCTATTTCACAACGGATTAAAATTCGTTTTGTGTCCCAATAAATGGAATTATTTCCACGCTTCAGGGCAAACATTGTCGACAACTTAAAATGATTTTATCCTACTAAAGTGTATACATGGTTCTGTGTTTCTATAGCTACCCGGCCGGTGCAAGCTATACTCAGACGAATGTGACATACAATTATTATATGATATTCTTTTTGTAGGGGAATGGTTTGGGGGTAGGGGTGTGGAAAAAAACATATTTCAATATTACGTTCAATTTCCAGTCGAGTTAAACACAAAGATATCAAATCGTTATGATTAAATCAAGTTTAGCCCCAGTCGAAACGTCGTAGTCAACTCGGAAATTTGCAATTCCCCAGACTCAGTAAAACATTGTGCCGCCACCGGCCGATTTAATAAATACATGTAGACTATTAGTGTAATACATTATGTTCTATAAATTCTCTCAAACAGCTCGCTTCGAGGTTAATATCCTTGTTCGTATTAATACTATTTCTGTATTTTTTAGATATTCATGTCTCTTATATCATTTTTGAGAATATACCCGCACACCAAGTTCATATTAAATTCGGAATATTTCGCCGTATACCAATAATCATTCCGGTTACCCAATTATCCTTAACTTTGACGGAAAATGCCGAAAATTGCCTTTTACCCGCCACTAATAACCCATCTACGAAATCTGGCGGAAAGGAACGAAAATTTTGCTTTAAATATTTAAAGATACAGGAAAAGATCCACACAACCATTAAACTGTACACAATGATCTGATCGCGATAAATGTTACTGAAACTTGTAAACATATGACATAAGATTTGTATCTTACAACAATTGACCCTGTCTCAGTGCCGAAAGCAACTTGTAAATGACTAAACAGATTGTTAGCATGGTATGTAAGATGTCAAGTGATATTGTTGTGACCTCTTGACCTGTCTAAAAAATACAGATTTCACATATTTGGTAACTCTATTCATTAACCGTAACTGGGGGCATAAGATAACATTTTTAGTTCCAGTATGTATCTTTTATGTATCTTTTAAAATGAAAACAAAAAAGGTGGGTTTTTTTTATTGGAGGCTTCTATTCTTCGGTTAACTTCGATATTCTCTATTTCTTATAATGGCATATATTACGAAAGCGTTCAAAAGACAATATTTCTGATGTTGATGAATCAGAAACGCTTTTTTATCTTTGTTTTGCACGGAAAAAAGATCAAATTATATCTTTTTTTTCTCAAAAAGCAGTACCCACCCTTTGTAGTTAGTTATTTTGCATATGATTAAGATAAAACTTAAAAAACAGCAAACAAATAAACAAAAAAGCGAAATTCATGTTTCGTATTTGAAAATAAAAATAAAAAAGCGTATAATTAAAAAAAGAAACAACAACCATAAAAAAAGAAAAAGAAGAGAAAAAAGTGGATCTTCAGTGTTGTATTTGTCACAGACAAAACCTTGTATGATTTAAAAAAAAAGACAAATAATAATTTTATCTCGAGTGTCTTTTGCCGTACAATAAACGTATTTCATTTTCATTATTTATGTATAACTATGGTCGCTGATAAACGCAATACTGATTTTTTGCTTTTTTCACAAGAGTATGCAAAAGAATAAATTTACGAAACTATGAAGATATGACAAGAGAAAGTGTAATGACGACAAAATCATAACACAAATCTTCCATTCATGATACCGTCTTGAAAGGTGTATATTTAATGCCAACACTGCGACAACTTTATCCATGCACGAAATTCGTAATTATACTACATGTAATAGATAATTCGACATTTTTCGTAACATTCCGTGGTGTAAGAAAAGATATGAACGCAGACTCTCATCTCGACGTTAAAGATCCTCCGAAATATGTCGGAAATAGTCAAAAATTATTCTATAAGTTGTCTTGTTTCCTAGTAATCGATGATTCCTACTTTTAGAGATATTAAAATTTAATCTTGTTAACATTATAACATTTCCTTTCATTTGCCATTTCGATATAGATATTTTGTAAAATATTTCAATTTTTTTGGCAAAATTCATGAAGTTGATTAGTCGGATCGTTGATTGGTTGGTTGTTTGTTGATTGATTGATTGCTTAGTTGGTTGGTTGGTTGGTTGGTTGGTACGTTCCTTTAGCCTTTCTGCCTTCCTTCAATTTTATCCAATTTATGTAATAATCTTGTTGAAATCATTTTTCTAAGGCAGCTTATGATGGCTGATTTATACCATTCGAGTATTCGCCCCGCGACCCCGCCAAGCAAAAAGTCGATGTGTGTTCACTCCTCGCCCCGCCATTTTAACTTGTTAATTCTCGGCTTTTCGCTTGGCGTGGTCGCGGGGCGAAAACACGAAATGGTACAAAGTTACCACCAAACAGTTAAGCTTATACCTGTTTGTTTGTTTGTTTCATTTTACGCCTTTTTCCAACAGTATTTCAGTCATATAGGCGGGTAGTTTCCTATCCATCGTTCCTGGAGAGTTACACCAGACTACCTTCCTCCGCGCTAAACTACCGAAGCATCTCCCGGGGATCGAACCCACGCCAGAGAGGTAACTGGATTATAAGTCACCGACTCTAACCCCTCGACAACGGAGGCGGTCAACCTTATACCTGATCTAACAATAAATTAATAGCTAAAAGTTGACTCACCTGTTACTGTAGGCTTGATTGCATAATCTTCACATGTCTGACAACAATTGTCCTGTACATTGTTAGCATAACACTCCCAAGAATTCACGTCATCACATGATTCCCAGATATCTCCTTGACAACCTGTAAACGTTGATATATTTTATCATATACATAAAACGATGAACATGACACACATAAGCTGTAGAAATTGTTAGTTGTATACGTGGTAAGCTGTTTACGTGGTAAGCTGTATATGTCGTAAGCTGAAAACGTGGTGAGCTGTATATTTGGTAAGTTGTATACGTGGTAAGCTGTTTACATAATGAATTGTATACGTCGTAAGCTGTAAACGTCGTAAGTTGCATATGTGGAAAGTTGTATACGTGGTAAGTTGTAAACGTCGTAAGCTGTATGCGTCGTAAGCTGTATACATCGTAAACTGTATACGTCTTAAGCAGTATACTTCGTAAGCTGCATATATGGAAATTTGTATACGTGGTAAGCTTTAGACGTCGTAAGCTGTATAGGTCGTAAGCTGTATAGGTCGTACGCTATATACGTCGTAAGCTGTATACGTCGTACGCTATATACGTCGTAAGCTGTATACGTCGTAAGCTGTACACGTCATTAGCTGCAAACTTCGTAAGCTGCAAACCTCGTAGGCTGTATACGTCGTAAGCTGTAAACTTCCCAAGCTGTATACGTCATTAGCTGCAAACTTCGTAAGCTGTAAACTTCCCAAGCTGTATACGTCATTAGCTGCAAACTTCGTAAGCTGTATACGTCGTGAGCTGTATACGTCGTAAGTTGCAAACGTCGTAAGCTGTATACGTCGTAAGCTGTAAACTTCGTAAGCTGTATACGTCGTAAGCTGTATACGTCGTAAGCTGTAAACGTCGTAAGCTGTATACGTCGTAAGCTGTATACGTCGTAAGCTGTAAACGTCGTAAGCTGTATACATCGTAAGCTGTTAACGTCGTAAGCTGTATACATCGTAAGCTGTATACGTCGTAAAGCTGTATACGTCGTAAGCTGTATACGTCGTAAGTACTTGGTAAGCTATTACGGCGTAAAGCTAAATATACTTCGTAAGCTGTATAAGTGGTAAGCTATTTAAGTGGTAGGTTTGTTATAATGGTTTTCAGAATAGCGGAAAATAGCACTGTCAGACCATCTTTTCTTTATCAAATTAACAATGGCTCCATTGGAACTTTATATGTTATATATACGTGAACACAAATATGCATTAATTCGATTCTAGTCAATTGATTGTATAATTTATTTGTTTTTCTGTTCTTTCAACATATATTAGTCAGTATTGGTGTCACATACGAAACATGGCCGTGTGTAGAGTTTGGGCTTGAACCAATGACTCAGGGGCTGAGAGCCAGATACATAATAACACCTGGGACATTACTTCCCTTTTAAATAATTGTGGAAATAAATTAAATTCATATAATTGATCACATATTTTATAACTTCAGCCATTAACCTGTTGAATTTTATGACTCGATTTGAATTTTCATACGGATAAAAAATCGAGTTACTATTTTTAAATCACCGTCGGTTTTAAAGTTGAAGAAAGCTAAATAAATATCATCCGATTTGCAGGCCTGCACAATAAAAATCGTGCCAATCGATTTAATAAAATCGTGACAAAACCGTCACGAATATTTATGAATAAATAAAAATCGAAAGGTATTATTTGAATAGAAAATTCTTCCAATCCAATATTAAATAAATATATTTTGACATGTTTCAAAATCACACGAATTTTGTATTTAGATTTAAAAAAGGTTTAAAAATAGAATTTATAAAATGAACAAGGTCACGATATGTTTACAATTTCAAGTTTACTATGGGTATAACATAACAAAAAAATGCTAATTTTAGCTGCCATGTTGATTAATGTATCCGATTTTTCTAGGTCGAAAGACATATAAATTTAAATTGTACGCAAAAAAGAGAAAGAAAAGAAAAGAAAAAAAACTTTTAAAAAGTGAAAACAAGTTGGCAGTTAACAGGGCTCGAACAATAATATATAATTATATATAAGTCATTAATTGAATTTACATAAGAATGACCAGAAAAGAAGTTAAATGAGAAAAAGGCAACAATGATATTGAGACTAAAGCACGCGTGTCGATTCTTTTTAATTAAAATTGACAATTCTTTGTTATTTATTAAGAGATGGCAGATGGCTTCGGTGAAGTGATGTAACCCAGCCTCAGGCATTTAGCTATCAACAGAAATTTACTTATATCATGTCAAAGTTTGCCGGAATAGCTTATATTCCGTTAAAGGGGTGTACGGACATAATCCCCTTCGGACAAAATCCCCTACATGTATTTTTGTATATCTGGACATAATCCCCTC